ATCAGCATGAGTTGGTGGAGACATATCATAAAACATGCATATCTGTGTCCTCCAGAAAATAATTCATATGTAGGTCATTGATTTCAGTGGAAATCATTGTTATGAGGAAAGTTGTGTCTCGAAAGAGGATTTGGCAGTGGTGAACCAAAAAAATAAAGTGGGAAAGAACAGCTTCTGTATACTTGAATTTTCTTAAACAGGTTTAATATTTGGTGCTGTCATCATTCAAGAACACCTGATTTCAGTGCTCAGTCTTTAAACAGATACTTTTTAGGTTTCTTGTTGGAGTCTTTTCCTAAACCCACAAACTCCCAAACAGGTGCATGGCAAAGGCTCAAAGAAATGAGACACACAACATGATCTCCAGGGATGAAGGAAGAGTGAGATCCTTGGCAGAGCTTATAACTCTGCTAGCCATCTCCTGCTGGCAGGAGTTTTCTGAACAATGGAGGAAACCTGAACAGGATCATGAGAGAAGTACAAGGACTCCCTCAGAACAACAGAAGATGCTACTTAAGGAGAATTATCCCACAGAAAGTATCTAGGTGGCCTTAGCTATGTCGTATGTTGGTCGCTGAGGCATCTCCTCATTTTCAGTTCATTCATTCCTGGGCCACATCACAGTCCTGCATGAGTATTCAGCTTCAATGGCTCCAACATATCCCTCTTTTTTGTTTTGTAGATACACAGAAGGGTGACCACCTGAAGATGGAGAAGCTGTGTTGGGAGAACTCCCAGAAATGCAAAGCCCATCAATTCATAACAGTAGTCAATTACCAGCAGAGCCAGCAATTGTCAGAGGATGTTAGTGATTGGTGCTTCCCCTATAGCCAATATTTTACATTGCACTATACCTCCAGAGGTCAGAGTTTTCTGCAGGAGATTCAAGACCAAGCTAATATGAGAACTGCATTAAATAAAATCAGTTCCTTATTTCCTATCAAGGGCATTTAGGTCTCCTCACAAATTATCTTATAACCACGCATAGCACCTCATGGCTCTTCTGTCAGTGTCAGACACCAGGAAGAGTCACAGCCATTGCTTTAGCAAGCTGCTTTCTATGAAAGCTTGGGAGATTTTTCTGGTGACTGGTGACTCTCCTTACACACACCTTGCATCAAAGATCACTTTCCTCTATGGTCTCATTTTCTTCTTGATTAGAAGAGCAGGGACTCACTGAGTATCTTTGTAAGATGCAAGCAAAAGTTCTTTTACATTCTGAGTCTCCACCAAGCTTGAAGTGCTGGGGCCAAAACATTGGATATGTGTTTAGCCCATCTGTCTCTCTCATTTTCGTCCTTGAAATTTTAGCTGTAGCAGCCATGTTCCTAAAGGTTTCCCCCTTCACATCTCTGTAGAGCTTCTTTTGGGATGGACTCAGCAAAGTCCACTCCTCACTGTTGAAGTTCACAGCCACATCTCAAAGGTCACCACCTCCATTGCGTACCTTGGAGGTCTCCCAGGTTCTTTCTAAGCAGTCCGCAGCGAATAGAAGCCACAAGTCGCAGTCTAGCAAACCTCTAGCTCTCCCTTTTTGGCCCCGGACTCGCAATTGACGCCATGACACCAGAAGAGACCGCCTACCTTCCTTATTTCAATTCTTGAGACAAGTCTAGAAGTTGTAAACAGTCCCACCGCTAGTACAAGTATTTTTCTGGAGATCGTAACAATGTTAACAAAAGTTTGTTTGCTGCTATATATATTTTCATCAGTTTGTGGCACATGAATGTGCTCATTAAATTACTGAATTAAGCAATTAGTGAATCTGCTTCACATTAACTAGCCAAGAATTGATAAGTGTTTACATCCTAGGTTTTTGAAAAATGAACATTTATATTTTCAATTTCTTGTGACTGAAAGTTTCTTTAATCTATTCCAGAGGACCACAAAATGGCTTTTATTTTAATTGGCAGCACCAAATGGAAACATAGTGCAGAAAAGATTTGGTAAAGCAGATTAATCAACAAAAGAAAGTATCATTCATGTTAGAAATTAAAAAGAAAAAAAAAGAAATTAAAAAGCAAACCAGTCTTCTCTCTGTTGTAGAGGTAAATAAACAAAAAACAATTTAAATAATATACAAGCAGAAAAAAAAGGGTATAGATGGACATAATTATTGTCAATTTCTCTGAAGATTCTTGTGATACAGCATATCTAAAAATTTCCTTATGGGGGCTGGGGATTTAGCTCAGCAGCATAAGTGCCTGCCTTACAAGCAGGCAGTTGTGAGTTTGATCCCTCGTACCAATAAAAATGAAAAAGACAAAAAAAAATTTCCTTATGACAGTCCTATAAATACACTTTTATATTTGCCAGCTAATTTTAGTTGGGAAAATTCATTTTTGTATCTAATAGGTGGAAACTACATGACAGATTATTTTAAGATAACAACATTTAAATTTTAATAGATACTCAAAATTGAGATAATGAATTGACAAAAGTTTCAGCATATCCCTTAATTTTTGTAGGAAAACGATCTTTGAAAGTACAGAATTTAAATGTCTTAGAAGAGGTGAAAAATTCTGTTGTGGCAATTGCATTTAATATTTTTAGTTTTACATTAATAAACAGCACATTTTAGCAAACTTATGGAAAAAAACAGGTCATTAAGCCTAAATTAAGACTCTTGGTGGTTGACAGCTATTACTGCTACCACTAACAATGGCAGTGGTAAGAAGTGGAGCAATTAATGTACAAGAGTGTGATACCACAGATGGAACCTGGATATGGACAATACAAGGACATACCCTTTGGAAAACTTTAGAAACTCAAAATAATTGCTCCTGTTCCACTGAGGCTGTGACAATGGCTTTATCCAGAGTGGGGAGAAAGAAAACTAGGGAAATATCCTCTACCACAAGCCAATGTTTCTAAAACTAGGCAAAAGCCTGTCAATAGTAGTTGGCCAGAACTGCAGGGCAGTGGTTCCGCCATGAGTGAATCAAGAGAGGTAAATGGTCAGTCACATCACGTTCTGCTCACTTCACTATGGAGGCTGTGCCTCAGACTATGTCAGGAACAAAGTGGAGGTGGGATTAGGGGAGAAGGCAAGCCTGTTCTGATTCAGGTCACACCTTTGAGCCTTTGCCCAAAACACACTAATATGTATTATTCTCTGTGCTTACCTTCTGTCTCTCCTCATGCCACAACTCTTGAAGCACTTTTTCAAAATCTCCACAATCCTGAAGGGGTGTCTGAAAATGACTAGAATGACCTGCCACCAATGCAGGAATTCCTTATTCACAGTCCCTGACAGGTACTTGCCCAGAATCTTCAGCATTCATAGTGCTGCACTATGTCCCAAGGGTGCTTATTCTAAAGAATTTGAAATATTTCCCAATATCCAAATCAACCTTGTCTTCTTCCCACCTTGATTTTTTGTTTCAAGTTCTGTCTCTTCAGGTGGCATGGCATTAATCTTTGCTCCTCTTTTTGTTCTGACCGATCAAATACCACTCATTAGCCAATATCCATCTTTCAGTCCTATCTCTGCTCTGACAACCTGTCCCATGCTGGTCCTCCTGTTCCCTTAGTGTGACTGCACAGTCCCTCTTGACAATTGTGCTTTATAATCAGTTATCTTTGACATTCTTTATGCCTTCCAAAGAGGAACAACATCTCTTGAGGAATGGATAGTGTTAATCTCTGTTTTTATTATTATTTCCATATTCCTTTACTGTTTTGCAGCCAAGTATATAATGTGCAGAGGTGAGCCAGGTGTGGTGGCTCATGCCTGTAATCCCTATACTCAGGAGGCTGAGGCAGGAGGATCATTGTGAGTTTGAGACCAGCCTGGGTTACAAAGTGAGCTCAAGGCCAGCCTGAACTGCATAGTGAAACCTTGTCTCAAAAAGACAAAAAAAAAAAAAAAAATGTGCAGAGGTCTTCCATAAACTATCTCTAACCACTATTAGTTTACTTACTTTACAGGATATTTCCTTACAAAAGTCTTCTAATCTAATCATATTTACCTGCCAAACTATACCGTCCATCTTTCTCCCTTGCTTTCCTTTAGTTCTGTGGTTCTCATTTTAACTTCTTTTCCTTTAGGGCAGAAAGTATTAGCCTTAGGCATACAAACAACTGCATATATTGTACACATAGTGTTTGTTTGTTACGGGAGAGGTTTTACAGGTTACATACAACCTTCACACTGTCCCATGACTCCAAAAAAAGATTAGCATTCCCTATCATAATGCTTACCCCTTTTATTTTTGTGGTACTGGGGATGGAACTGAGGGCCTTTGCAATGAGTTACATCCCCAGACCTTTTTTAGTTTTTATTTTGGGACAGGGTCTTATTAACTCACTAAGCTATCCAGGCTGGGCTTAAACTTGTGATCTTCCTTCTTGATCCACCCAGAATAGTGGGACTATAGGCATGTGCTACTACCTGTGGCTGTTCCCTTTTTTTAACCAAATCTTTCCTATTTTCTTTCTTTTTTTTTTTTTTTTTTTGTCTTTTTCATTTTTATTGGTGCTAGGAATCGAACTCACGACTGCCTGCTTGCAACGCAGGTGCTTATGCTGCTGAGCTAAATCACCAGCCCCATCTTTCCTATTTTCAAAGGTCCAATTTGTGCTCCTGGATCCAGAGAATCATCCATATTAAGGACACTTTTTAGGAAAAAAAAAAATATATATATATATATTTTAAGAAATATATATATATTAGGAAATATATTTTAGGAAATGTATATATATATATGTTTTGTAATAAATTTAACTGATTTTACTTTGTGAAAACTTAGTGTCTTCATTATAACAATTCTTTTGTTATTTAATGTTTCTTGATTATAAACTCTTCACAGCAGCTTCAGAGTCTTTTTGTTATATACATATATACCTTCGACAAAGCAGGTAGAAACTACTGTGGACACAGATGATGAAGATGCTAGATAATCTTCAACTTCAGGTTGAGATTCTTTCAAAGATGCACATTACAGATATGACACTGTGAATGGAACCCAGTAAAATGCCACAAGTAGCTGCCACCTTACCTCTGCTTTACGAATATTTTCTCTAGCTTCTTCTATTTTCTGTTCCAGTTCTGCTCGGCTTTGTTCTGATACAGCAACTCCATGACATTCCAGATCATTTAGAACCTATCAAAGAAAACATGAAAATAATGACTGCTTTTCTTTCTCATCTTCATTCTTAGGTGACTAGAGTATTTAGAAATTTAAAAGGCTTTAATGAATAAAGCCATGATCCCTTTTTAAATCTTTGTTTCTTTTACTCATTTAATTAAAAAATTAAAAAATACATAATGTGGATATACTGGGCATGCACATGTTAAATTTTTAAAAATTACATGAATATAGAGCATTGTTACAGAACAACTAATGAAAAATGATAATGTCTCCATTATATTGCACAACCCATCATGCACTCTGTACTCCAAGGAAACACTGTCCCTTCAATTTATGTTCATTTTTCCAAATCATTTTTATGTATTTCTGAACACACAGAAACACAAACAGAAAATTTTAAGACACCCTTTTCATGTTTGTATAACTAGGCTGACCTCATTCTCCTTAAGTAATTGATAGATGCAAGAGTTTATCTGTACCGGGGCTGGGGATTTAGCTCAGCGGCATAATCGCCTGCCTTGCAAGCAGGTGGTCATGAGTTCGATCCCTAATACCGATAAAAACCAAAAAAGACCAAAAAAAAAAAAAAAAAAAAAAGAGTTTATCTGTACCGTATTTTATTTAATCTTCCTCTACTTCTATTTGAATTTTCAAATAACACTGTACAAAGAACTTCATCAATGATGCTTAGTATATAAATCAGAATATTTAAGATAAAACCATAGAAGTTGATATTTGAGGACTGTGAGTGGGGAGAACCAGGCCTCACAAGGAGATGGTCTCTGCCTAGAAACCAGTGCCATGAGCAAGCCACTGCAGGAGTGGGGACAGCCACACCCAAACCTCTCTCAGTGAGACAGCACAATTCGTGGATTGCAGGGGCAGAGAACCAGGCCTCACTAGAAAGTGATTCCCACCAAATGAAACCATATCATTTTCATTGTTTTCTTGGGTTGGGTTTTATTCTCTTTTATGTTAAATCTGATGGCATGAGCAGCTATTTAAAAGATAGCAAGACATATTATGGCAGCCATTTTGAATTTACATTAGCTTATTTTGAAGTCCTTTACTGCACTCATTGTTTTGTTTTTATTGTTTCTATTCTATTCTGTCCTGTTCAATTTTTGATATATCTGAAGGTATCTGCAGCTATTGTGAAAACAACAAGAGGCATTATGATAACTATTGCTGATTTTGTAAGGTTTTGAAGTCCTGTATCACTCATACTAGTTTATCTTGATTGTTTTTATTCTGCTCTATTTTCCTGTTTTATCCTCTTTTAAAAAACATTAAAGTGGAAATTGTATATTTTAATATTAATAGACACTGCCAAACTAACCCTAAAAGTTTTACCCACACTGTATACTGCCGATTGTTAGAATTACACCAATATAATATTTATGATACTTAAAAATATTAACTAACCCTAAAAGTTTTACCCACACTGTATACTGCCGATTGTTAGAATTACACCAATATAATATTTATGATACTTAAAAATATTAACTAACCCTAAAAGTTTTACCCACACTGTATACTGCCGATTGTTAGAATTACACCAATATAATATTTATGATACTTAAAAATATTATCCTCATTATTATGTTTCTGATTAATAGAGAACATCACTTCATGTGTTACAGGCCATCTCTACTTCAACTTCTATGAATGGGCAGTTTATGTTTTATATATATATTATATATACAAATACAAATATACATATGTATCTGAGGAGGACTGAATTCAGACTTATAACTGAGTTATATCTTCAGATCTTTTCTTCAGTTTTGTAAAATTTTGACACAGTTTCTCATTAAGTTGTCCAACTTGGCCTCTAAATCATGATCCTCAGCCTCAGCCTCTTGAGTAGCTGCAATTATAGGTACGTATCATCACACTTGTCTGAAGTTTTTAGTTTTTATATGGTCATATTTATCAATCTTTTCCTTATAGTCCCTAGTTTTGTGTCTTTTTAAAAAAATTTTTTTTTGTCTTTTTCCTTTTTATCGGTACCAGGGATCGAACTCACGACTGCCTGCTTGCAAGGCAGGCGCTTTATGCCGCTGAGCTAAATCCCCAGCCCCTAGTTTTGTGTCTTATTTAGGGTATCTGCAGTATACCAAAAACATTCTCAGTTTTTATTTTTTTAAATAGCTACACAGTTTTACATTTTGTATAGATGCCATATTTTTTCATCAATTCAATTCCTTTTTTTCTTTTTAAATTTTATTTAAAGAAAGACTAAACAAGGAGCTGGGGATTTAGCTCAGCGGCATAAGCACCTGCCTTGCAAGCAGGCAGTCATGAGTTCGATCCCCAGTACCGATAAAAAGGAAAAAGACAAAAAAAAAAAAAAAAAAAAAAAAGACTAAACAAAACAGAAAATAGGTAGAAATAATACATACATACAGAGAAAAAAATAAACAGTAAGAAATCACTAGTTGATGTTTATATATTGTCGTTTTACAAATAGTTGTTCAAGATACAAAAATAGAACATATAAAGTGAGAATTCAAACAGCGAGACTGCAAACAGTTCTGTTCAACTATCCAACAAAAACTTAGTAACGTGGTTGTCAATCCTATATACTTAAACATACATGCAGTTATCCGTATCTTCATTTATGTTTAGATTAAACAAACTAAAGCAGGTGAAAATCATTCTGAACAAAAAATAATAGTACTGGGCTGGGGATTTAGCTCAGTGGCATAAGCGCCTGCCTTGCAAGCAGGCAGTCGTGAGTTCGATCCCTAGTACTGATAAAAATGAAAAAGACAAAAAAAAAATAATAATATTGCTGGATTTCACATCATGACACTCCATGATCAGCACTGGGTAATGTAGTGTCTCTCTCTTTTTTTTTAAATTTAATTTAAAGAATGATTAAACAAAACAGAAAGTGGGTAGAAATAATGCTTTCAAAGAAAAAAAAAACAGTAAGAAATCTTTAGTTGATGATTACAGATTGTCTTCTTCCACATAGTTATTCAAGATACTAAAGTGGAGTATATAAAGTGGGGATTCACACAGTGAGATTGCAACCAGTTCTGTTCAACTATCCAACAAAAACTTAGAAATATGGTTATCAATCCTATACACTTAAATATACATACAGTTACCATATCTTCAATTATGTTGAGATTGAACAAACCCAAGCAGGCTAATATCATTCTGAACAAAGAATAATACTATCAAAAAGTCTTGTCATCTTCAGTGTAGTTGCCTATACTCTCAGATTTGATACTATCAATCATATCAGTTTTGAATAAAATCTTCTCTGCCTCATTTCTGTTATGCTCTTTTTTTGCCATCAGTTGTCTGCTTATCTTCTTCATTCTGTTTTCTGCTCCATGCATTGAGGCCTCTCTGCCACTATTCCTGGAATCCTAGTACTTTTCTCTCTCTCTAGAATGCCCTGGAGTATTCTCTGTAGAGTTGGATTGGTGGTTGCAAATTTCCCAAGTTCCTCTTTGTCTTGGAAGCATCTTGTTTCTCCATTAATTTCTAGAGACAGTTTATCAGGGTATATCAATCTGGGATGGAGGTTATTTTCTTTCAGAGCTTGGAATATTTTGCTCCAGACTCTTTTTGACTTGATGGTTTGTGTCGAGAAGTCTGCCATTATTCTGATGGGCCTTCTTTTGTAGGTTATCTGTTTCTTGCCTCTAACAGCTTTTAATATTCTGTTCTTATATTGAATTTCTGGGATCTTGATTATTATATGCCTGGGTGTAGCTCTGTTTTGGTTGTAGGTGGGTGGAGTTCTGTATGCTTCATATATCAGAATATCACTTCTTTTTCCTATGTTTGGAACATTTTCCTTAATTATTTCTGTGAATAACCTTTGTAATCCCTTTGTTTGTATTCCAGCTTCTTCATTTACATTCTTTATTCTCAAGTTATATATCCTTTTGTCATCTTCTAGCCTTTGTATTGTTACTGCTTGTTTCCTTGTTATTTTTAAAAAGTTTTCCATTTCATACTCCCACATTGCAAAATTGTCCTCCGGTTTGGATAATCTATTCTTAGTTTGTTTTAAGCTGATTTTCCATCTTCTCATAGAGTTTTTAATTTCCTGGTGATCTCTTTGAATCTGCTTTATGTATTCTGTATTTTTCACCAAATGGTTATCTCCTTTGAGTTCCTCCCTTCTTCCAGCTATGTCTGCTTGAGGGGTGCTTAGTATCCCTTTTATTAATCTTCTTATATCTTGCTTTATTTGGCTCAATATTTCACTTTTGAACTCATCTAAGAGGTCCCGAACATATCTCTTTATGTCCACTGGCACTGTGTCTGATGTTGCATGTTTGCTGTTCTCATTGTCCTTTGTATTTACCTGTCTTGGGTCACTGTTCTCAGGGTTGGGGCCTGGAGACTTTTTGTTGTTGCTTGTTCTTCCCATCTTTTTTGCTTCTTCTAGGAGGCCCCTGTGTCTCTCTTTGTTGGTTAAAATTCTTCTGAAGCATGTTGGCTAGATGACCCTTCACACTGCAGTGTGCTAGTGAGTTGCAGACAGGGACAGCATGTGCTGACCCGCCTCCGGATCAGTCAAGCTGCTGTGGCCTGCACTAACTACTGTATTACTCTGTGCCGCTTCCCCTCCAGACCAGTCAAATTGAAAGTCCATTCTCAGTTTTTAATAATGTTTAATACTTGTTAATTCTTCTGAAAAGTTTTGTATATAATGGAAGAGAAAGACCTAATTTTATGTATTTTTTCCAAGCACCAACACAACAGCTCTCATACTGTTTACTCAATTGCTTTCCCAGAGATCTGAAATGCTTTTTTTTTTTTTTGCGGTACTAAGGATCGAACTCATGACCTTGTGCTTGCCAGGCAGGCACTTATGCCACTGAGATAAAATCCCCAGCCCAAAAATTCATCAGTGAATATTTCAGGGCCAGCTGATCTTTGAGCAAAGACTTTTTTTTTTTTTTTTTTTTGTAACTCACAACCTTGTGCTTGTCAGGCAGGTACTTGTGCTGCTGATGAAATGCCTTTTTTTTAATGGT